CTAATGTAAAATTTTTGTTGAATACATTGATACAGGATTAAATTATAAAATTTTAAAGAAATATCAATCTCATGACTTGACTTGTCAAAAGACTTGACTGCATGACTTTTGATTTTTAGGAATGACTTGACTTGACTTGACTTGATTTGAGCGTTTCTCTTTTTTAGGTGTGACTCGACTTAACTTGGCTCAAGTATCATGTACAAATGACTTGACTTGACTTGGGCAAAAAAAAAGCCTGACTTGCCCATCTCTGTAGTAAGGTGACATTAGGAAAATTGATTAATCTATAAGAATAAAGATATCTTTTTTTCGATGCACAGTTAATAAAATAAAGCATGCCTGTTTTATTCCGCCACACATCCATATCCACCAGCTATACAAATATATATACGTATATAAAACTTCAATCATGATTTGTAGTTAAAGAAAAGTCTATACTCCAAAATAATGAAAAATCATAGTAATAGTCATTATATTTAAAAAGGTGATATTTTGTGGGTTCAAAAAACTACGATGCTGATTGAAAGCCTTTAAAATATTTTCATCAAAGGTTTTAGGACAATAAGATCTTCGAGTCGTGAAATTTTCAGCATGGCTACTGATACTTTTATAGAAGGTGGTAGATTTCTATTCCTAGTAGAACTACACTTGAATATCCAAAATTTTGAGATAAAAAGGAACTATGGAGATGAAAACAAATAAATATGACAACTTAGAATTTAGAAAAACTATTCTGCATGATTATCAATCTGAGGAAGGAAAAATCTCATATGTTATCTGTAAACAATCTGTTAACATAAAAAAATATGAATAATTTCATCAATAAATAAGTATACAAACAAACATATATTTATTTTTTTGCATCATGTAAACAAAAAACTACCTGAAATAATGAAATGAGACTGAACTAATTTTTATTTAAAGTTTGAATGTCTTTCTCATGAAAAAAAATAAAAAAACGTCATAGTGTATTAAACCTATTCAGCTTTTTTAAAAATGTTTGTGTTTACTACAAACATTGCGATAATAATAACATAAGATGATTGAGTTGTCCATACAGTTGCAACTAATACCACAGAACTTTCGAGATAAACCATTAAATAAATTTTTTCAATAAATGGAGCAATTAAAAGGCATAAAGCACTTATACATGTTAATGAATTAATAATTGGAGGACCACCATACACAACGAATACTAAAAGAACATTGAATGTTCCGAAAATGTGTAATATTAAACGTAAACGAAACAGTGTCGTATCTCGATGAACAGTACTATCATGTACTTGAAGAATTTTTTTAATGTCATCATAAGTCGTATGATTGAGAATACAATAATGACAATTATGTTCATCCAAAGTCATATTTTGTAGAATTTTAAATGCATCATTATGATTTTTATCAAATGATTTTGTACCATTTTGATCATACAATGTTATCATTTAATGTACAAATGAAGATATTAAAATAATGTAGAACATTAAAATTAAAAATAACAATAAAAAAAAGCCGTCGATTCGTTGTTCTTTGTCGTAGATATGATGCTGGAGGGTAGTGGCGCATCCAGGAAATTGTAGGTGGGAGGGCAGCGCCCCAATGTATTTAAAAACTACCTCCACAATAGTTGATTATTTTCTGAAAATTCAATCCAGTTTCCTAATTTTCTGATTCCTAAAGAGTAATATTAAACGACATGTATATTCTTTTATTAAGCAGATTATATCAACAAAAGACAAAATGAAAGTAAACAAAACAAACAAGTCGCTTAAATATAGGGCAACGTTTCTAATAGAAATCTAAAACAAAATATGAAATTGCATAGTATTTTCGCAAGCTAAATGCAAAATGATACTTTGTTTGAAAAAACAAAGTATCATAAAGTTTCCATGGTATATATTGTTAGATTTAGACTCAGAAAAAGATATTTTTAATATGTATTTGTTATTATTAAGTTCAAATAAAAAGTATACAAAGAATAGTATCTGATTAAATTACATAAAAACAAAATCGTTTATCTAGTATTTCATCGATAATTTAGAAACAGAAATAAAACAATAGTCAAATCAGGGGCGGTGGAGCGTCATTAAGCTAGGTGAGGCTCATCATATTTTTTTGCTACCGTGGGATTTTATGAAACATCAAGTAGTAAATAAGTCTTCTTATTATTGAGCTTCAGTAAAAATAAATATGGTCATTATAAAAAAAAAGATTGGAAAATACTGAAAACTACTTTTCTTTGCTTCTACTCTGGTGCAAGAACAAGAAAATAGCAATATTCAGTACAAAAGCAAGTGAGGCTGAGTCTCATATTGCGAAATCTAGGTGAGGTTGAGCCTCATCTGCTGAAAACTAGGTGAGGCTCAAGCTTCACCTGTCTCAGTGGCTCCGCCGCCACTGACTCAAATAAAATACGCACTGTAATATTCACCGAAAAGAAAACAATCTTTTACCTACTCAGCATATAACCCTTTCAACTTCATATTCTCCTTCATTATGCATGTCTTTGTGAATCACTATTGATAAAAAAATTGAGGAGTTTGAAATTTTCATAGGATAGAATGAAAAGCAAAGTGTAAATTTTTCTCAGCAGGTGTTCGCTTGATACTTTGTTTTTATGAGCACAATGTAAAACATAGTACCAAATCGATATCGCAAGTATCATGGATACTTTGTCACAAAGGCTGATACCTGCTGTTAGAAACGCTGATGTAGGGCTTCTAATGAATTTAGCTGACGAGAGAGAGAGGATAAATGTAAAAGCGATAGATATCGCTTGACCAAGGACGCATGTAAAGTGTATCCGATTGGTGTCACTAGTTGATGGAATTTCGAACAATCTTAATATATGCAAGGAAATCGAAAAAATTTAAAAGTTATTATGAAGTATTTTTTCTTATCGACGGGAGGGCAAAATCCCTCGGTGGGTGGGCGCCGCCCAATATAGCCCCCCCCCCCCTTAGATACGCCACTAATTTCCTGGTCTAACGCGAAATCCAGAGCCATTTATGATCACCCAGGGCGAAATAAACTTGTCATATATCCATACTATGTTACTCGTCGATACGATTCGACATCATTAAAAACGCAGAACAAACGTGTTTGCTCGGTCTGTTGACACCGAAAGCATAATTTCGAATTACCAACAAACCCTCTTGCGGATGCTAGGATATTGATTACACAAAATATCAATTAGGTCCTATAACATTATTTCGGCTTCGAACGTCACTCAGAATCAAATTAACCAAGGAACACGCATCCAGCAACACTCTAAAATGATCATCAGAACGATTCTTCAATACTTAGTGACTTTTTCCATTGGTCAAAGGTGGGCGGCGGACCGATTTTCCTCAAAGGTAAGTGTGGTTGGTTTCGTAATGAAAGATGCTTAGAATCCTGTTTCAACACGAAAAAGTAGGTTGGAACCTTCGAGAATGATTATCTGAAACATTTTCCACGTCTTACTGAATTTTTCGATAGTTGGAGGTCGAGCTTTGGAGTGATTTTCGTCGAAGGTAAGTGTGGTTGGTTCAGTAATGAAAGATGGCTGAAATCCTGTTTTTATGAAGAAAAGCTACCTTCGAACCATCGGCAATGGTTATTTGAACGAGTCCATACGACTCATGCAATATTTTGATTGGTGCAAAATGATGGGTGGAGCGATTTTGGCTTAATTAATGTGGTCAATTAGTACTCTTTAATGATGTTTAAAATTATAATAATTGACGAAAACGTTAGTGACGATGTTCCAGAATGACATTCAGATGCATTTTCTATGAACTATCAGTGATTTCGATGGGTGCAAAATGATGTAAGGGTGATGTTTTCAAGAAGTGAAATGCAAGAAGATGGCTCAGTAAACGGGTTGGTATTGTGTTTAATGAATACGATGTATAGTAGGTTGGTTTCGGATTATTCAAAGTGTGGGCATTGATGGGTCAGATGTTGTTGTCGGGTTACAAATTTTTTAGGGTGTTTGTAGTTGGGAGAAATGTTTGTTGGGGACCCGTTTCAGCGGTGAGGGTTTGGATTATGTTGTGATTATTGATGAGGCTTAGTCGTTTCGGTTGGTGTCCGTGTTTCTGAAGACTACAGTTGATTCATCTTGTGATTAAAGAGCTTTTGTATGAGAGATTTTTTTATGAGGTCCTTGTCATCGGTATTGGATGGAATCCGGTCAAATATGTGGTGAAGCCGTTGTGAAACCGGGATCATCCGGTAGTCCGGGCGGATCGGTTGCGACAATGTTCGGTTGTATTCTCCGGCCGGAAACGACCAGACCATTTTCCTTTGAATTCCGGCGGGGTTTCCGGGAGCAGAGATTCCGGTGAAATTCCTGGCAGGAATTTCCTGCCGGATTCTGGCAGATTTGAGTGGGGAAAATGCCGGCTTCTGAAGTGATCCGGTACTGGTTCCGATGGGTTCCGGCAGGATCCGGAGGCAGAATAGAGTGACTTGGGAGCCTTTTATTGATTCATTTTTGCTCATAAAAATATCATTCATATCAGGTTTGTAACGAAGACATTGTTTTAAATTGTCCAAATAAAATGCACTTGATTGTTCTAAAACTTCTCTATGCGTTCCCATCTAGTATATTGAAAACAGTGATAGCAAAATTTTTTTAAATGTTATGAACATTCTTATACTGATCAACAAAAACAACAAATAATCTTAGACACTTTTTATTCTTTATGTTTATGATACATTTTCTAGTTGTTGTCCATGTATAAACAAATGTATGTCAAACTCTGTAACAAGCCAATAATAAAATATATTGCTTTAGTCAAATATCATCAGAAATATTTGATTTACATTAAAAACAACATGAGTTAGGAGGATTCTTTTCAGAAAAATAAAATATAATAGAAGATATTGAGTTTCATATCTCAACACCACTTTTACTCACCTCCCTAGGGAATGTACTGGGTTCAGGGTACCTATTAAGGGTACTTAGAAAATTCTCAGTAACCAGACTGTTGTAGGTACCGCATTGGGTACCCAAAGCAGTATGTTTCGCTGAAGCAGTACTTGTATGAGTACCCGCACCTGTAATTTTACTGAGGAATGCTCTACAGGATACCCTAGATTTATCGCGTTCTGTGTGGCGTCTGTTCATTCACCGTTTTCTTTTGCGTGAACAGCTCCTTATAAACAACTCGGTGAACCATCAGAAAATAAATTTTTTCATATTTTTTTTCTAGGTTATTTCTTGATTATTTATTAGTGGAGAACATGCCGATCTTAATCGTAAATTAAGATCGGACTACCCTGAAGTGGTCGCATGGAGATTCGACCAACTCAAGCCCGGTCAGATTCCGAAATTTGACCTACTAGAATTTTCAGGGTTGGCAAAGTTAAATTAAATAATATCGAAAAGAAAATGAATAAATTGTTGTGAGAGAAAAAAAAATGAAAAAATTTGAAGATTAGATTCGACCATCAACGTACTGCAATTTTGGTAACAGGGTACCTAAGCATACTGTGCAATAGTATCCAGTTGAGTACTTGATCAGTACCTTCAAGTACTCATTTACTAGTTGTTTTCCAGCAGGTACCTACCTGAGTACCTAAAAGCACTTTTAAGTACTCCAGTACCATAAAGTTCCTAAGACATACTAGTAGCAGGGTACTTTTTCGGGTACTCTTTGTTCAGTATATGCCCTAGGGCTGGTAGATGTCAATAGTGTACTGATACATAAAAATTTGATTTATTTTATTGTGTAAAATGAGAAGCACGAATCATATATGAGTACTATATTTTGCGAATGTAGCTGAATGTCAAACTACCTATAACACTTTCATGTTTAGACATGGCCCACATCCAAACTCAAGCTCATTAGAACAAACTCACCAAACCCAAACAGTTTGGGTTTGATTCATGCCTAGTTACGTTAAGCAGTTGTTATTATTACGAAAGTAATTTTTTTTAAATATAATTCAATCAGTTGCAGATGAAAGTAGAGAGTTCATATATATCCCAGAAGAATCAGGGTACATCGGAATCGGTTGGAACCGATCGGTTCCGTTGAATTCCGACGATTTCCTAACTAACGGATTCCGGTCCGGATTTCGTCGAACCATTTCCGATCGACTCCCATCGGTTCCGTCGATTTCTGACGAATTCCGGGTCGGAACTTAACGGAATTTTTCCGGCGGAACCCGGGCCGGGATCCGTTAGTTAGGAAATCGTCGGAATTCAACGGAGCCGACCGAAAAGCAACGGAATCCATAGGATCCGATGCCGAAAACAATCGGATCCACTGGTCGGATTGAATCTCCTGGGATATATATACATATATATATAAATATGTATTTGATCCCGACATATTTATCGTTACTTGTTCCAACCCAACCCATCCCAAGTCAACCCTACCCAACTCATCCCATCCCACCAAATATATATGCTATCTATGCATATTCATATATATATAGAGAGAGAATTGAT